GCTACGGCCATTACATGCACTGCGGTGCTAGAGTTGCAAAATCTAAATACAAAGCTAGATACAAACTACGATGCCGCATCGGCCTGCTCCTTGCTCTGGCCGGCATCCTCCTCGCCACCGCTATTGGTTCCGGCGTCATCATCTTCATAGGCCTTGGAATCAGCAGGTCCCTCGAGCAGGTAATCATCGCTGTCGCTCCAGGACTCTTCCCCCTCATCAGAACTGAGGATTGGGGGCTGCCTCTCCAATGGCGGGAGCTTCATATCCTCATCAGGATTCTTCATCCGCCGAGGAAGACTCAAACCTCTCGGCCTCATCTTCCGGAAGCGACGACGAAGCTTCCTGTAGATCAGCTTTTGCATCCTATACTGACCACAGTCGTAAAAGGCTTGCATCTCTTTCATCCAGAAGTCCTCGCCGACGGGGTCTTTCGTCGTCCAGTCCTTCAACCTCTCAGCGACCACATCATAACAGAAGGGGAGCTGGTCATCGGCTTTCCACCCCTCGGCCTTGAAATCAGCCACGGCCTTCTCGGCGGCCTTCTCGGCATCAGCTTTGAGCCGTTCAGCCTCCTCGGCTCTCTGGATGGCAGCAGCAATGGACTCATCGGCTTTCTTCCGGGCGGCCTCGGCCTCATCAAGCCGGATCTGAAGAAGCTTCATCTCATCTTCCGCGGCCTTGGCTTTGTCCCTCAAATCTTGGAGGGCCTCATCGGCTGAGAGAGCCTTAGCCTCCACTTTCTTAAGCCGCTCAATTTCGGCCTCCTGCCTCCAATGCTGCTCCCTCAGCATCAGCGCACCCTGGACGAAGCAAAGTAAGGTCAGAGATAAAAATGAAAACAAAGTAAAAATCACAATGGGAAAGAATCCTACCTGGACGACATAGTCCAAACCCCCATCGTACAGGTGGACGTGCTTGCCCTGCCGGCTGAGGTACTGCCGGTCATACTCAGGCATAGCCTGAGCGAGCACGTCGTCGCCACTGACAGTCTCGTTAAAGAGCCCGCCCTTCACCGGGTAACGCACCGTCACCTCATACGTCCCCTTGGCGAGGGCCTCCTCCAAACGGGCAGCAGCGGCAGTAGAGGGAGGCACCCGAGAAGCCGAGGCCACCAAAGCCGAGGAGGGTGGATCATTCACAGGAGGGACCGCCGACGGCTGAACATCCGCAACAGCCTGAGAGGAGGGGGCGCCGGCCTCTCCATTCGTTGGAGCCCTCTTCGTCTTCTTCGAAGCCTGGCTCAGTTTTAGCCCCGCTTCGGCCAGAGTCTTTTGGCCCTCATCAGCAGCCCTCCTGCTCTTCTTAGCCACAGGCTTCTTAGCGGCCTCAGCGCCCCCTTGAGAACTGCCCGCAGACCTCTTTGCTACCTCGGCAGCTTGAGCGGCTTTCAACTCCGCATCGGCTTTCTTGGCAGCCCTGGCCATAAAAGACATGCGATCCATGGCAAAACCTGCACAAGACAAAGGAACATCAGTAAAACAATAACTGAACACACTACGGGAAGGGTGAGTGGACGAAGGACAACCTTCGGCTTCGGCAGGGACACCGAGTGAGGGACCGTCGGCTTGCTCATAAGTCCCCTCCATCTTCGGCCAAAGATCATCGTCTACATCACCAGGGCAGTAATATCTCACGAAGCCGAGGGCGGCCATCCTATACTCAGTAACGTAGGTTGTTACGCTCCTCGGACCGCCTTTGATGAAAGCCTCCACCTGCCTACTGATCTCGGCATTCCACGGAGGATTATGCAACTCAAACAAGCCGCTATGACCCGCAGACGGGAAGTAACCGCCTCGGCCAAGGTTAACGAAGACAAACTTCGCCTTCCAACCGTGGATTGATGAAGGAAGGTCTGTAAACGTCCTCCTCTTGGGGACCTGCTGTAAGGCGGCATAACCGGCGCAATTCTGATGGCTCCCTCGGCCTATCCGGTAGAGATTGGTGAAAAGCGCAGTTGTCGGCGAGAACCCCAACTCACCGCAACGGATAAGGAAGCCGACGATGAGCGAGTAACTGTTGGGCGTCAGCAAGGCCGGAGGCAGACTCACCATGTCAAGGTATTCCTTAATAAAAGGATGGAGAGGGAACCGCAAACCCTTGGCAAAACTCATTGGGTATATCCCGAAATAACCCAAAGGGGGGCTCAACACATGATCCGTCGGCTTCGGCGCACGCACCCGTCCATACGGCCCCACATACAGCTGAGCAACGTGGTACTCGCCGAGGGTCCCTTCCGGCCGAATGATATACAGATTACTAAGGTCAAGCTGCGAGTGCCCCTGCGGTACTCCCTTACGCTGCTTCCGCCGATACGGCCTTTTCGTCTTAGGAGCTGAGGGGCCTTCCCCCGCTACGGACGATATCGGTGGAGGGCATGGAATGTTGGCAGAAGAGGATGCCTCATCCCCCCTCAGAGGCGAACTGGAGGACGCCTCGTCTCCACCAGAATGATGCGCTCCCGCATCGGCACTCATTCTCTCCTCGTCTACGGAAGTACGATAATCGGCGGTATTTTCCATTTCAATCTCAAAAGCCTCGATCAGTCGAAGATCAACTCCAGGGGACGTTTCGTCCTCGTCAAAAGGCCAGTCTTCTTCGTCCAACGAAGCTGTTAAGTCAAGGGGGGAGGGAGCGCTACGGCCATCAGGGAACGGCATAACATCTAAAACCTAATCCTAAGGGCGGTTCTCGGATCAAAGTGAATTTTCCTACAAACACTAGATCTAACCCCCTAGGAGGCAAAGTATGAAAGAAAAGCAAAGAACAAGAAAGAACTGACCTTTGAAGATATGAAGGTCTGGGAAAAGACTGATGAAGACTTGAAGGAACTTCGGAAGCGCTTCTCTCTCTAGAAAATTGGGCAGCAATTCAACAAACAGCAAAAGGCAAATGAGGGAATGGCTTCGGAGTGGGGGGTATTTATAGGCACCCCCTCCAACGGTCACTACACGTGGCAACCCCCAATTGGCCACCCAGGCGGCACCTCTTCTAGAACCAATCAACGCCCGTCTTTTCACATTCCACTCTAGGGCAACCGCTACGGCCCAACAGGCCCCGAGACTAGGGTAGGCACCGGCCTACTCACTCAAAGCAATAAGAAACTCGCTACGGCCCAATTTACCAAGGAAATGGCCGCATCAGCAAACACGCTACGGCCCAAAATCGACCCCAAGAAACACAAGTACCGCTACGGCTACTCACACGCACATCGTTTGATGATAACCCTGGTATTGCGGCCTTCGTCCAAGGGTTCTCCCACAGGGTTACCTTGGACAGGTTCGCCTAAGGGTTGGACTCACGACTAACGCATGGGTACCGTATCGGCTCGAGAACATCATGACTCCCTTGTGCCTAAGATACTCTTCGGCCAAAGGAGTGGGGGACTGGGGGACTGTATCGGCTCACTAAAGCAGGGATACACAAGTCAAAGCGCTTCGGCCACATAACAGATCAAAAGCATGCGGACCGCATCGTCCTCGAAACACTTTTCACAAAGAGTGCATCGGCCCGCACCAAAGTTATGAAATCCTCAAGCGCGCCCCGTCTACATCAGATGAGGGAACCGCTTCATCCCAAAATCAAAGCAGAACCTCTTCGGCCCCAACAAAATGGTAATAAAACAGGCCAGTTCCTCCATAATTCCCATCTACTGGAAGAAGAAAGCGCACCGCATCGTCCTCGAAACACTTTTCACAAAGAGTGCATCGGCCCGCACCAAAGTTATGAAATCCTCAAGCGCGCCCCGTCTACATCAGATGAGGGAACCGCTTCATCCCAAAATCAAAGCAGAACCTCTTCGGCCACCAAGCACCTCGTGCTCACGCAGCGGCCAGCCAGAAAGGAACAAGTACTCCCTTTCGCTTCGGCTTCGCCTCAGCTCAGAGAGTGGGGGACTCCTGATAGAGTATATGGGCCTGGACCCCATGGCCCACATACTCAAGTCAACGACGACCAGAAGAACACCCACGTGGCCCCCTTCGGCCAGTGGTCCCGCATCGGCCAGAAACCAAACCGGCCCAGGAAGCACGCATGGACTCCCGGGACCGCATCGGCCCATAGACCGCATCGGCCATGGGGCCGCATCGGCCAAAGACACCGCATCGGCCAGACTTCGGCCGGGCAGAATGCATCTCTCTACTTTATTTACTAAGTATTGTACACAGCCCATTAGTGGCCCTATTTCGCCCAAAGAAGGCATGATTATTGTAATGGGCCTCCTAAGCCCATGGCTAGGGGCCCAAATCCACATTTTTACCTATAAATAGACCCCTTGGGGCTAGTTATAGGGGGTTGAGAAATATAATTACTCACTTTCTCTCTCTAGCTCTCACTTCTCTCTAGAATTAATACTCTATCACACACTTTAAAGTTTAAACGGGAATTAAAATTACGGAAATTGTCCTAAATAGGACTAATGAGTTCCTAAAAAGCACAAATAGGACTATTACTTTTTAAATTCCCTAAATAGGACTAAACATAGATTTTCTACCCTAAATACCCCTAAGAGTATTAATTCATAATGAAATGCTTTAATTCATAATAAAATCATAAAAAAACGTAAAAAATAATTAAAAAACGTAAAAAAATATAAAAAATTTATAAAACATTTATAAAATAAAAAATTTAATTTTTATTTTTTTAATTTTTTTTTTAAAAATAATAAAAAATAGTAAAAACCCATAAAAAAAATGAAAAAAATTATGGATACATTTCCCACCGCCATCTGCCGCCTCCCAGCACCACCACCTCCGATTGGTGAAATTTCTTCCACTTTTGGTAAAAAAATGCCATCTTTTTCTGAAAATGCCAAAAGATGGCATAATTACTCTTCAATATGCCAACATTTTCATTGAATATGCCATCATTATGGCATTATTTAAAATGTTGGCATATTTTTCTCCGGTAATGGGAGCTGGTGGTGCTGGGGGTGGCAGGGGTGGTAATGTTTTTTTTTTTTTACGATTTTTTTTTATTTTTATTTTTTTTTTTAAAATATTTTTTTTTAATTTTTTTTAAAAATATTTTTATTAATTTTCTATTATCTTTTTACGATTTTTAGTATTTTTTTCGATTTTTATTATTTTTGTATGATTTTATTATTAATTAAAACATTTCACAAGTTACAAGGGTATATTTGGCCAAACACACATAAATAATCCTATTAAGGGAATTTAAAAAATGTAGTCCTATTTGTGCAATTTTGCCACTTTTTAGTCCTATTTAGGGAATTGACTCTTAAAATTATTAAACTATAGTTCAACTTGTTGGGTTCAGTTTCAGTTTTTTGTGTTCTTTAATTTTCTTAGCAGTTCAGTTTCCAATTTCATGAACCCTCCCCCCTATCACCCCATATGTTGCTAAAAGCAAAAAAAGTAAATAAAAAATAATAATGGAATCCTTAAAGCTAAAACCACTTCAAAGTAGGGGTGGACTCGGGCCGGGCGGCCCGACCCGGAACCGGCCCGGCCCGGTTACTGTTTGGCCCGGCCCGGCCCGGGGCCCGGTTGGTCCAGCGGTTCGGTTTGGCCCGGCCCGGGTGATGGGCGGTCCGGGCTCAGGCCCTGCTTTAGACGAACCGGCCCGGCCGGTTCGGGCCGGATTTTAATTTTTTTTTTTTTTTTTGAAATTTTTTTAAGTTTTGGGTTGGATTAGGTATTTTGGGCCATTTGAGGTGGTTTGGGGTTGAGGGGTAGGGGTAGGGGGTTAATAGGAGAACCAAAAAATAAATGGGCCAGTTTGGCCCGGCCCGGCCTGGCCCGATTTGGCCCGGAACCGGAACCGGCCACCGGCGGTTCGGGCTCGGGCCCCAATTTTCTGGCCCGAGGCCCAGCCGGGCCCAGGCCCGAACTGGGCCCGAGTCCAACCATACTTCAAAGTAAAGAACATTGTGCTCAAATGAAGGTGTTCGAGCCTTCGAGGGGGGTCATTTATTACAAATCTGAAGAAGAAATTGTTGTCGAAATAATTACAAAAAATACGCCAAACAAAGGGCAGCTCCCTTGTTCACATGTCCCTCCTTGAGAAATACTGTATTACATACGGAAAACCTGTCATGTCACAAACTAAGAGGGGGGATAAAACACAACACAAACTACAGATCATTGAAAGAATCACTTAAATCCCAGAGTGCGATTTTCGGACGTTTATTCTTGGATGATTATGCTGAAAACTAGGAGGTGGAGGTATGGAACCTAGTGACATGAAGTGGCATTATTAGAAAACAAACATATTATGACAATCATCGTCAAGCCCACTCATACCAACATGTAGAGCTTCTCGCACATCTCAACTTGTTGCATCCCTGCTGTAAAACTGATCAAGGGTCTTCCCTGGGATACGGTTTAGAAGTTCACGGGGGAAGATTCGGAGAAGCGTCCATGCCAAATCCAGTGACTGGAAGATGTTGCGAGTATCATATGCTCCTTGGGCCACAAACTTCCTCTCAAATTTGTCAAGAAATTCTAGGTATAGCTGTTTGTTACAAAGATCATTTAAAACCTCTTTTAGCTTCATCATCTCTAATAATAACAGTGAAATGGTTATAAATATAGGGGTTTTTTTTAGAAGTATTAGCATACCAGGTCTTCAGAAGAAAGAGCTTCCTCTCCAACCACAGCTTTCATTGCTTGCACATCCTTCCCAATGGCATAGTTTGCATACAACTGGAAAATAAAAAACAACGCTTACACATACTGAACAAAAGACAAGACTTCAATCTTGGTCTTCTACTGCTATAACTAAATCTTTTACCTGGTTTGAAACATCCGAATGGTCCCTTCGAGTCATACCCTCCCCAATAGCACTCTGCAACAACACCGGTATTATTAAACTTCGCTTTCACGGATCTATTCAAAATACCTGAGTTTGACTTCAATTACAGCACACAAAGCAAAACTATGCACTTACCTTCATTAAACGAGACAAAGATGGAAGCACATTGATTGGTGGGTATATCTGTTACAAAAATTAAATGAATGAATTCAATAGCATCCAAGCATTAATCCCAAAAGAGTTTGGGGTCGCTAAATTAAATGAATGAATGAAAACTGTTTCACAGTTACTAAAAAGTTTGAGGCAATTCCCGCTAATGAGTTTTAATGTTTACCCTTATAAAAAGTAATGCACTAATAATGTATGCTGTCAAAAAATGGTGTTTGTGTGTTACCTGCCGGTTTTGAAGTTGTCTATCGATGTATATTTGCCCTTCAGTGATATAACCCGTCAAATCAGGAGTGGGATGGGTAATATCTGTCCAAAAAAAGGAATGATGATTCACACAAAAAATAAACTGACCACAAACTGGGGACTGATAATGACGTTTAAGTAAGAGACTGATACCATCATTAGGCATAGTCAGAATAGGAATCTGTGTGATGGAGCCTTTTTTTCCTGCAATTCGACCAGCTCGCTCATAGATTCTCGCCAGATCAGTATACATATAACCGGGATATCCACGTCTTCCGGGCACTTCTTCTCGAGCAGCAGATACCTGCGGAGTGGAATAGTTGCCACAGTGGTATGTATTAACAATGTCAATTGTCAAAATGTTTAAAACTAATGAGTCACTTCAACAATGCATTTGAATGATATTGTCCATTTTGCTTCATACTGGAATAGGATTCATACTAATGGATTTAGGTGGACACTTAAAAGTTGTGCGCCCCCATAAAAAACAGGAGCTGATAAACACGGAACTCATAACTTCATTTCCATTAGAAAGTACCTCTCGAAGAGCATCGGCATATGAACTCATATCTGTCAATATCACAAGAACATGCTTCCCACACTCGTATGCCAAGTATTCTGCAGTTGTAAGAGCAATCTTAGGAGTAATGATACGTTCAATAGTCGGATCATTAGCCTGCAAGAAGAAAGTATAATTGTAAATGAGTCATTTCACCTTGATGACCAAACAATTCTAAATGCATTGTTGATCACATTGGTTTTTAGCAGACAATTTTTCACTAACCAGTAACTCATTTCGCTGCACTTGGTGAACCGCTTTATAATGGAGAATGGTACATATGTCATATTTTGGCCGAAATCGCAGAAAATTGATACTTCTACACTTATTTATAGAAAATGTTTTCATTAATTTACTTAAATATATTGTTTGAGATGATTGAGCAAATTCTACCAATTCCGTGATTTCAGCAATCTTGCCAGAGTCAACTCTGGCCATTTAAAGCCCTAACAAACAGGGCTCTAAACATCAAAATGGGTATGGTAATGCTTTTGAGAAGTTACCAAATTCAAGAAAAGGGTCACTCTCTCCATTGAACCATTTTCTTCAAAATCACGTTTAAAAAACTGAGCTGTCTCCATGTTAACTCCCATAGCAGCAAAGACAATGGCAAAATCGTCTTCTTCACCACCCTGCTGACATTATGAGCAAGCAAGATAAGAATTAACCTAATGCCAAAATCATATTATGATACATTGCACATGCTTGTGAGTGTACACACACACAGTCATATACAAATACACACACACACACGTGTGTGTGTGTATTATATGCGAGTGAAATTTTGTCAAATAAAACAACTTACTTCTAGTAGATTATCAGATTTCTCAAGCCGCTTTACCAAACCAGCCTGGCGACAAATTTGCGCAGCAATTTCATTATGACGAAGACCAGCTGCAGAAAAGAGAGGGATTTTCTGTCCTCTGGCAATTGAATTCATGACATCTATCGTTGAAATTCCCGTTTGAATCATTTCTTCAGGATAGGTTCTCTCACTAGGATTTATCGAACTCCCTGAAGACAAATAATGTGCGAGTACACAAACACACATGACCCTCCATATATATAAAATACACACAACATAAAGATATTCTGAAAAGAAAATAATTACCAGAAATATCCCTGTAAGCCTCGGGAAGGATAGGAGGACCATTGTCAATTGGTTTACCGGAACCATTAAAAATGCGACCAAGCATGTCCAAAGAGACAGGAGTTTGCAAAACCTATGTCAAAGAGTCGGGTTTACTGAATACAAAAGAAAACGAGCTACAAGGGTAATAGAACATAACCTGTAAAAGAGGGTTTTCTTATAGGGATACAAAATTAGAAAAGAACATTAACCGTTCGTTTGGTGACCCCTGTTTTGCGGCTTATTGGCCAATTTTTTCACCAAACACGCAATTTTTAATTTCACGCGCAGGATTGTGTAATAATCGAAATAAGTAAGGTTGTAGTTACTTTCCTGGCTAAAATTGGCTAAATTTACTGTAGACAAATATTTTGGCTACTTTTTCATATAATTTTTTTTTATTTTATTAGAAAAATAATACATATTTTAAATATAAGTTTTTCATAATTCAGCAAATTCAGCCCACTCAGTTGCTTCAACCAGAACTTCATCAATCAGCAGAATTAGCCAATTTCAGGGCTACCAAATAGTCTATGAGTTAAGGCATCCCACTTAGAATATTAAAGATTTTTTACTCAACAAAAATAAATTAAACTGCCTGTCTTCACTTTTAGTTGCTCCATTTTCCTTTGATGAGATTTTATTCATTATTACTTGCTCCACTTTCCATTTTACTGCCTGGCATACATATTCATACTTTCTCATCTATTCTCTATTACTTCTTCATTTTCTTCTGCTCCATTTACTACCTCTGCAACTTGAAAACCCTATAGGTGCAACTGACATGAAAAGATGGAGTAGTACAATATAATAATGAGTGATCAGAGCAATACCTCCCCAGTAAACTGCACTCTTGTAAATTTGTTGTCAATTCCAGAAGTTCCCTCAAAAACCTGATTGTAATAAAACATTTAACATATTGAGTTAATTATGGATTAAGTTGCATTATGGAATAAACTAAACGTGTCAGGTTTTAGAGAGATAAAAAATATTCGAATTTTTTTACAGAACAGGGAGAACACCACGCCATCAATGAGCTTATTAGGAAACAATGACCTGAACAACAGCTCTCTCTCCATCAACTTCCAGAACTTGTCCACGTCGGGTAGATCCATCTCCTAAACGAATATTAACAATCTCTTCATACTTGGGTCCCTGCAGCAATATATTTATTTGTAAGACTTCCATTTCTAAAAGCACATAAATGATCATCATTTTGAAAGTTTGTGAAAGGGAAAATGATAAAAAACAACAAAACCACCTTCACTTTATCAAGGATAACCAATGGGCCGGCAACTCCTGAAACTGTTCTATATTCTGCAAATTGCATTGTTTGCAAAATATTTTATAAGAACAGCTCTATAGATCACAAAATACATCGATAGATATCTATGTTATTCGCACAGTTCTATATTCTGCAATGTGTATCATTGCAAATATATTTGGCTAATCATCTAACATAAAGAAGGCTGATACTATAGAAATTATGAGTTACAAAAAAGTTTGTCCCTCTGTATGATTTTTTAGCCAGAACTACAAAGTTGATTATCGACAGGAGAAAGCCAGAAGTTTCTGAATCCATCGAAATCAATTCAAAGATATCTCTACCAGAAAGTATAGAAATTTATGCTACATGTAAAGGCAAAATATATAAAAGAATCATCTGAAGAAGGTATACATTCCATGTCCATGTGATATCTAAAGAAATTACCCATGCCAATATCCAGAGTTCCCACTTCCATGTCCACATTGTCAGCCACCATGTTTTGAACTGATCAACATATATGAATAAATTGTATAATATCAGTATATATATGCACAAATAGCTATGTACAGTATATGCTTTGTTCATAATTGACGTAATAATTTATACGGAGCATATTATATTTTTTAGATAATATTTCTTATGCTTACCCTTATTTACTAATCTTTTGTTGTTAAAAAAGTTACATATCTTCAATTTCTGGATCAAACAATATTATAGTCCAATATTTTAATGATAAATTGATTTTGAACACCAAACATTTGATCGCAACAACCGCCACTAGATACTAATCACCCCTATAAACAACAAGAATGCTTTCAATGTTATTTATAAAAAGTTGCCAACAGAGTCGTATTTCGAAGAATCGCATTGATATATTAACTCGTTCACCATCTTTGCAAAATAAGTTCAACACAGTGCACTGCTAAGGTATCTATAACAGCATTCAGTAACTATCTTTGCACATCAAAGAGAAACTTAAGCTTTTGTTCCAGGCTCTGGACCGCCGGGATAACTGTTCCCGCCCAACAATGATGACCTCACTATGATGTCATCACGGGATGATGTGACACGCGCTTACAGTTAATCTGAAGAATTTTGGCTCTCCTCCGTAGGAGAGCAACAGTGCAACACTGCCAGCATATTGGTTGGTCATTAAATTACAGCTTATTAGAGCTCAGATCTGGATTCTCTGTCTGGCTTTGGCAGCCAGGTAGGGTGGGTGGCTATTACAGCCACAAGATCCAACTTTGGCAGCCCACAGCTCTCCTCCCCTGTTGCAATTGCCGTTGGATTGCGCAAGGCAGAGGATCCAAATCCTTGCAGCTCCTTAATTTATAAATTATTCATCTTTTAAATGAAAGAACGGATCAAGAACGAACCTCAACAACACCCTCTAACTCTCTAACCTTGATCTATTCACTGCTGATTAGATAAAATGAGATAGGTAGTAATGTAGGAACGAACAAAACAAGATGAGATAAAATAAGAAGACAGGTAGTAATAATCGACTTACCTCAGGACGTTAGATGAACGGCGTAGTGTAGACTGCGTCCGCGAAGAGGAGATGGAAATGGGGAGAGCAATATAGCGTACGACCGTCTGGTTTGGCTGATAGAGTAGAGTAGAGAGATGGTAGATGAATTGGACCGGATCAAACACTTTTGGGCCTATAACTGTAAATTCTATATACTAGGGGTGGAATTTTGGAGCCGGGAACCGTAGAACCGATTGGAACCGAACTCTTAACAACATCTAGAAACCGAACCGTTAACAATTAATGCCTCATTTGTAGGAACCGAACCGAAGCGGGTTATAACGGTTCGGTTCCCGGTTCCTATAAAAAATATGTGCATGGAACCGTTATTAAAAAAATAAAAATAAAAATAATATTAGTAGTAGTAGTAACAACAATAATAATAATAATAATAATAATAATAATAATAATAATATAATAATAATAATAATAATAATAATAATAATAATGATAATAATGATAATAATGATAATAATGATAATAATGATAATAATGATAATAATGATAATAATGATAATAATGATAATAATGATAATAATGATAATAATGATAATAATGATAATAATGATAATAATGATAATAATGATAATAATGATAATAATGATAATAATGATAATAATGATAATAATGATAATAATGATAATAATGATAATAATGATAATAATGATAATAATGATAATAATGATAATAATGATAATAATGATAATAATGATAATAATGATAATAATGATAATAATGATAATAATGATAATAATGATAATAATGATAATAATGATAATAATGATAATAATGATAATAATGATAATAATGATAATAATGATAATAATGATAATAATGATAATAATGATAATAATGATAATAATGATAATAATGATAATAATGATAATAATGATAATAATGATAATAATGATAATAATGATAATAATGATAATAATGATAATAATGATAATAATGATAATAATAATAATAATAATAATAATAATCATAATAATCATAATAATCATAATAATCATAATAATCATAATAATCATAATAATCATAATAATCATAATAATCATAATAATCATAATAATCATAATAATCATAATAATCATAATAATCATAATAATCATAATAATCATAATAATAATAATAATAATAATAATAATAATAATAATAATAATAATAATAATAATAATAATAATAATAATAATAATAATAATAATAATAATAATAATAATAATAATAATAATAATAATAATAATAATAATAATAATAATAATAATAATAATAATAATAATAATAATAATAATAATAATAATAATAATAATAATAATAATAATAATAATAATAATAATAATAATAATAATAATAATAATAATAATAATAATAATAATAATAATAATAATAATAATAATAATAATAATAATAATAATAATAATAATAATAATAATAATAATAATAATAATAATAATAATAATAATAATAATAATAATAATAATAATAATAATAATAATAATAATAATAATAATAATAATAATAATAATAATAATAATAATAATAATAATAATAATAATAATAATAATAATAATAATAATAATAATAATAATAATAATAATAATAATAATAATAATAATAATAATAATAATAATAATAATAATAATAATAATAATAATAATAATAATAATAATAATAATAATAATAATAATAATAATAATAATAATAATAATAATAATAATAATAATAATAATAATAATAATAATAATAATAATAATAATAATAATAATAATAATAATAATAATAATAATAATAATAATAATAATAATAATAATAATAATAATAATAATAATAATAATAATAATAATAATAATAATAATAATAATAATAATAATAATAATAATAATAATAATAATAATAATAATAATAATAATAATAATAATAATAATAATAATAATAATAATAATAATAATAATAATAATAATAATAATAATAATAATAATAATAATAATAATAATAATAATAATAATAATAATAATAATAATAATAATAATAATAATAATAATAATAATAATAATAATAATAATAATAATAATAATAATAATAATAATAATAATAATAATAATAATAATAATAATAATAATAATAATAATAATAATAATAATAATAATAATAATAATAATAATAATAATAATAATAATAATAATAATAATAATAATAATAATAATAATAATAATAATAATAATAATAATAATAATAATAATAATAATAATAATAATAATAATAATAATAATAATAATAATAATAATAATAATAATAATAATAATAATAATAATAATAATAATAATAATAATAATAATAATAATAATAATAATAATAATAATAATAATAATAATAATAATAATAATAATAATAATAATAATAATAATAATAATAATAATAATAATAATAATAATAATAATAATAATAATAATAATAATAATAATAATAATAATAATAATAATAATAATAATAATAATAATAATAATAATAATAATAATAATAATAATAATAATAATAATAATAATAATAATAATAATAATAATAATAATAATAATAATAATAATAATAATAATAATAATAATAATAATAATAATAATAATAATAATAATAATAATAATAATAATAATAATAATAATAATAATAATAATAATAATAATAATAATAATAATAATAATAATAATAATAATAATAATAATAATAATAATAATAATAATAATAATAATAATAATAATAATAATAATAATAATAATAATAATAATAATAATAATAATAATAATAATAATAATAATAATAATAATAATAATAATAATAATAATAATAATAATAATAATAATAATAATAATAATAATAATAATAATAATAATAATAATAATAATAATAATAATAATAATAATAATAATAATAATAATAATAATAATAATAATAATAATAATAATAATAATAATAATAATAATAATAATAATAATAATAATAATAATAATAATAATAATAATAATAATAATAATAATAATAATAATAATAATAATAATAATAATAATAATAATAATAATAATAATAATAATAATAATAATAATAATAATAATAATAATAATAATAATAATAATAATAATAATAATAATAATAATAATAATAATAATAATAATAATAATAATAATAATAATAATAATAATAATAATAATAATAATAATAATAATAATAATAATAATAATAATAATAATAATAATAATAATAATAATAATAATAATAATAATAATAATAATAATAATAATAATAATAATAATAATAATAATAATAATAATAATAATAATAATAATAATAATAATAATAATAATAATAATAATAATAATAATAATAATAATAATAATAATAATAATAATAATAATAATAATAATAATAATAATAATAATAATAATAATAATAATAATAATAATAATAATAATAATAATAATAATAATAATAATAATAATAATATAATAGCAATAATTACCACCACAACAACAAAAGTAATAATGAAACAATATAGGATATTTAACTAACAATTCTAATTTAATCAACGGAAAAGAAGTAATAATTATTGTAAATGAGGTTGATATAATACATTAAATTCCTTTCTACAAATCAAGTTTTGTTCCATCACATAAATTTTATAAATATAAAATAACCCAAATAACTTGTAGTTGATTGCACATATTTTACTTTACTATTTTCATGATATTTCTAATTATTAGATTTATTATGAATCAATAGAATGTAATAATGTTTTTTTATATCTATACATGCAAACTCAATGTTTTTTTATGTTTTGAACGACTTGAAGTACACGTCCTATTCTTGCTACTATGATGACAAGTAACTTTCATCGCTCCGACACTTCAACGATTTTTAATGTTTCATTTATTACATGAAAATTTAAATCACTTTTGTTCTATTAAGTGTTCAAAGTTCATTAGTTAAGTTTGAGCTTTGATGTTTGAAGTGATTAGAGCTTCAAATAAAATTTTAATACTCGTGTTTTGAATTTTCGATGTTGTTAGAACTTTTATTGTGGGTCAAGTTTGTCTGTAATGTCTTGTTTAAATAAAGTAGACTAGTTATACCATTTATGGTATTAGATTAGTATTTATTATGTAGCAAATAAGGTAAAGGGAATAAGGCCCAAAAAGGCCTTGGCCCAACTTCCAAGGTTTACCTAAATCGGTAACCTATACAGCGCCTATAAATACGCGCCTTGTGTACAGGTACCGATATCGATCAATACACATTAGCCTTACGCTGCCAAATTTACTTCTCGATACTACAGAAAGAAGGTTTCACTGTTCTCGATAAATCTTATATCATTATATGAAATCCTTCTCTTCTGTCTATCGATGATGTTCATCTAGCTGATCGTTAGTCTGCTAAACTGGGACCAACAACTGGTATCAGAGCCTGCTCGAGTGTGATCGCCGAAGAAAAAGTTTTCGAAGTCCTCTGTTTTCTTCTTTTCGATATTGTACCCTTTTAATCGCTGTAATCTCATTTTTGAACGAAAAAGTGTAAAAGATGTACTGCTGAAATCGCCTCTCAAAACGAGCAAGCAGTATATCCTAGATTTTCGAACAGTTTAAGTTTCAGATTTGAGGTTCTCGATATTCTGATATCGAAAAGCAGGTTTCTCGAGGCTTCTACAAGTGTTTCAGTCTTCAAACTGCACAAAGAGATTCTCGAGATCAAGGACCTTATCGAAAAGCTGTTTTATTCTAGTTTAAAATTGATTTTTGATTTGCAGGATTTCGACACTGACTTCTCGACATAAGTTCTCGATTAGAGTTCTCGAACTTCTGTTCTCGATACTCAGTTTTCGATATTAAAATCTCGATATCTTGTTTTCGCATTTGCAGGTTCTCGATACGGCTTTTCGACATTCAGTTCTTGAACCTAAGTTTTCGAACTTAAAGTTCTCGATACTGACTTTTCGAAAGCTGTCTCTCGAACCTAGCTTCTCGATAGCAAGGTTTTCGATATCAAAATAACGAAAACTGCTTCTCGATAGAAGTTCTCGACCCCCCTTCTCGAACTTATTCCTGAAAATTAGGTTTTCGACATTCTACAGTT